TCACAGGTGATCCCGATGCAGGAGTTTCAGGCATGGACTTGAACCATTGTCACCGTGCTCAAGAAAATAGACACTAAAATGGAAAATGTCGTTGTTGAATTGGAATACATTTTAAAAAGCACCAGGCAGGATCGAATAACCAATACAAGACTTACCCTCCCGATGCAAACAAGTATAAAACTGTACAGAACGTGTGGGGCGCTTCACTGTCTCGCTCCCCATGCAGGTTGTCTTCCCTGATGACCAACACCAGCCTCAAGCCCACCACCACCCACCTGGCCATGGGCCCACAGAGGCAACAGCTGCTCAGAGAACTACCTGGGAGCTCCCCCTTTGGGCTCCCATGTTGGCAGCTGGACATTCTCTGCAAACTCTGTCATGTCCCTCCCCCTGCTACACCTGTGCTTCAGGTGAGCTGCGGAGGGATGATGCTCTCTCTTCCCAGCCTGCCCCCTCCAGAACCCTTCTCCCCAGTGATGACCAGGGAGGTGAAGGCTGAGCTCTTCTCACTGCAGAACTGGTGTAACCTGTCACGGGGGCCCCTCCCTTCCCATGTTGTCTCATGCCCACTCATGTTGTCTCATCCCAAGTGCATTTCTAACCCCTCAGAATATGGATGGGGGGGGCTCCCCATCCACTCAGAATTCTTGGACCACCCTCTTGGAGCAGGAGCGCCTGGGGGCCAGGACTTACCTGAAACTGAATCTTCTCTCCATTCTGGCTCTTAGCCCAGACCTGGTCAGACAAGAAGCCTCCAGAAAGCAAGGCTGAACCCGGACTCATCTGCGGGGACCCCTAGGGCCCGCCCACCACTAGAACTAAGAGCTGGGGCCCTGGCTCCCGCCCCAGACTTGGCTGTGATGTTTGCAGGTTTCTGGTGTCAACTTGAACTCAGGACCTGTATGTGGCTCATTCTCAGGTTTCCCCGGGCCCTGGCAAGTCCCTCATCTTCAGAATGAGTCCTAACGTCTCAACGGTTCCGTTAGCTCCATGAGGCCGTTTCCCCTGACCTTGAGGTCTGAGTCCTTCCCCTCGTCTGAATATTTACCTTTCATATACAATGAAGGAAAACTTAGAATTATCTCTGTGACCCACCGGCTCCCAATATAACACCTCAACCAGACTTCTGATGCTTCATTCCTTCAACGGAGCTGAATCAAAGCTCACCATAGCACCAGGCACAGAGCAGGATCACAAATCATGTACTGTCATCGCGTTCCTTAGCAGCACAAGAAAGGGATAAAAGCAGAGCAGGTACACCTGGGTGGCTCAGTCGTTAAGCGTCTGCCTTCGGCTCAGGTCATGATCCCAGGGTCCTGGGATCAAGTCCTGCTTTGGGCTCCCTGCTCAGCGGGGAGCCTGCTTCTCCCTCTGCCTCTGCCTGCAGCTCCCCCTGCTTGTGCTGACAAATAAATAGAATCTTTAGAGAAAAAAAAAAGGCACAAGCAAATATCAACACACTGGAAAGTGAGGGGAGGAAGAGGAGGAATGGGACACAGAAGGTTTTCTGGAGGGGGTGAAGGCAGAATCAGCTCTGGGGGGCAAGTCACCCCGTGTTGTGTGAGAAATGCGTTGTGTCTTTGAAGTTAATAAGCTCCCAGGATGAAGAAGTTTTCAGAGGGAGATTAAAGAGAAGCTTGGACGTCCTCTAGCCAGTACCTCTGTCCCCTAGGACAGAGGATCACGCCAGTCCCATTCGCCGGCCCTCCTCCCTCTGCATCTGAGGCAGGTTAGGGATCTGCCTCTAGGGGGCGCTCCACCCATCATTCCAGACCTGGGGACCTCCCAGCCCAAGGGTTGGCGCTGTCCGTGGTTCTGGAGCATAGCTGGGTGAGTTCAGGAAACCCCAGTTCTGCTAAGGACCCCAATCCACAGGCACAAGGTCCCGAGCCCTAGGCCAGCAGGGCATCTAAGTCGGAGCGGTTTCAGAAAGGCTGGGTCCCTCCTGGGAAGGAGGATCCAGAAGAAGGGGTGGGAGTGGGCTGGGCTCATCTCTGTGCTTTTCCCCTCAGCCCTTTTTTGCCTTAACATTCTTTTGACCTTGTGGAGCCAGCCTGGCGAAGGGACAGGGAGGAACAAGGTCTTCTCTGAGGCTTCAGATTATGCTCATGCTGCTGGCCCTTGGCCCACACTTTTTTTTTTTTTTTAAGATTTTGTTTATTTATATTAGAGCACGCACACGTGATGGGGAGCGGCAGGCAGGGGGAGCAGACTCCCCGCTGAGCAGGGAGCCCGACGACGTGGGACTTAATCCGAGGACCCGAAGATCATGACCTGAGCCAAAGGCAGATGCTTAACCGACTGAGCCACCCAGGCGCCCTAGATCACTCTTTAAGTAGCAAGTCTGTGCCTGGATCTCCCCTTGAGTGGAGGATAGGAAAGAGGTGGACGTTCATTGGAGCTCCTCCTGTGCCAGACTCAGGACTGTGCCTTTATACACCTTGACCCAATGAACCCTCACAACCACCCCTAGAGAGGACTGGCTAACAATTCTCATTTGGCAGAGGGGGAAACTGAGACTCAATGTGGTACGCAGCCTTCACAGGGTCTCACATCATTGATGCACATTTGGAAGCTGGGATTGTGACCCACACATGCTTGATGCCATAGAGAGTGATTCCTGAATCCACTGCACTCTGGTCCCAGAAAAGCAGATGATGCACACTGGGGAGGTGTTTTATTTATAAGGGATAGAGAACCATCAGACGATAGTCCAGGACTGATGGTGGTTGCAGACAGCAGGAGAGACCTCCATAGGGAGAGTCTAAAGGGATCAAGATCATGTCTCCAAGGACCAGCCCCTATGCCATCTTCCAACCAGTTCAGGAGACTCTGCTGCTAATGGACATGTAACATGCTCACTAGTAGTGACAGAGTGCATTTCACTTAGCATTTGCCACCAGAATGTCCCTAGAAGAGGAAGTTCCCCAGTGAACTTCTATCTTAGGGAAGTTGCCAAGCTTGTCAGGCCACCACTAAGAAGATCTCAGTGTGACCTACAGAGAGGGTAGTTTTTGAGAATGTGAGGCCAGCTATGGAGAAGCAGGGGACTGGGGAAGAAGCTGAGCATGAGGGGGTAGAATGTGCAGAAATCTGTTTAAAAATAAAAAACAAAACTCCGGGACACCTGGCTGGCTCAGTCAGAAGAACATGCTACTTTTGATTCCCGAGGTCCTGAGTTCAAGCCCCATGTTGGGTGTAGAGATGGCTAAAACAAAATAAACTTTTTCCCCCAAAGATTTTATTTGCTTGAGAGATAGCGACAGAGAGCATGAGTGGAAAAGAGAGGGAGAAGCAGGCTCCCCGATGAGCAGGGAGCCCAACGTGGGGCTCGATCCCAGGACCCCGGGATCACAACCTGAGCCAAAGGCAGATGCTTCATCGACTGAGACATCCAGGCACCCCTAAAACAAAATAAACTAAAACAAAACAAAACCAAAAACAAGAAACAAGCATCGGAGAGGCTGTGGAGAAAAAGGAACCCTCATGCACTGCAGGTGGGAATGCAAACTCATAAAGCCACTATGCAAAACAGTATGGAGGTTCCTCAAAAAGTTAAAAATAGAACTACCCTAGTATCCAGTAATTGCACTACTATTTACCCAAAGAATACAAAAACACTAGTTCCAAGATATATGCACCCCTATATTTACACCATTATTTACAATAGCCAAATTATGGAAGCAGCCCGTGTGTCCATTGGTATATGAATGGATAAAGAAGATGTGGTATATGTATACAATGGAATATTAGCCATAAACAAGAATGAAATCTTGCCATTTGCAACAACATGGATGGAGCTAGAGGATATAATGCTAAGTGAAATAAGTCAGAGAAAGACAAATGCCATATGACTTCACTCATATGTGAAATTTGAGAAACAAGACAAATTAACAAAGAAATAAGAGACAAACCAAAAAACAGACTCTTAACTAGGGAGTGAAGGTGATTAAGAGTACACTTACCATGATGAGCACTGAGTAATGTAGAGAATTGTTGAATCACTATACTGTACAGCTGAAATTAATAAAACATTGTATGTTAACTATACTGGAATTAAAAAAAAAACCCACAGGCACAAAATAGCATCATTTAGGCCAAATCCACAAACCGGGACTTAATGCATAATCTAACTGCAGTTTTACTCTCCTATAACCAGGGCTCAGGGGTGCAGGAGCAGCTGGTTCCAGGCGTCCCAAACAGAGACAAGACAGGAATTTACTCCAGGAAGGCCAACACCAGGGCGACCACGACTAGTGTTGCCAAGACTGTCTTCAGAGAGCTGAAAAATCTCCCTAGGTTTATAGTAGCAAAATGTGGGGGCACCTGGGTGGCTCAGTCAGTTAAGGGTCTGACTCTTGATTTCGGCTCAGGTCACGATCTCAGGGTCATCAGATCGAATGCTGCACCGGGCTCCGCACTCAGCACAGAGTCTGCTTGAGATTGTCTTTCTCTGCCCCTCCCTCCCCACCCCCACCCTGTGCACACACTTCTGCTCTTTCTCTAAAAAACGAAGAAAAGAAGATGTTGGACGAAGGGCAGTGGGAACGTGCTGCTAGGCAGTAAAGGCCAAGTCGATCATTGTCTTGGGGTCAGTCATGGTGGGTCTCGCTGGCTCAGAGCAGTTTTTATTGCTTAAGGGGGTAGTTTCACTTTCCATCACGGGATGATCCCCCCCACCCTCCAAGGTCTTTTGCCTGAGTTAAGAGATAAGGTGGAATGAAGATCTTAATCGATTAGAAAGTACAGACTGAGGGGATGCCTGGGTGGCTCAGTCATGAAGGGTCCAGTTCTTGATCTCAGCTCAGGTTTTGATCTCAGGGTGGTGAGTTCATGCCCCATGTTGGGCTCCACGCTGGGCATGGAGCCTACTTAAAAAAAAAAAAAAAGTACAGACTGAGGTCAAAGTGGAGGTGGTTGACATCCTCTGTCATTCCACCAGAAATGTAGCCCTAACCGGTCAGTCAGGAATCTATTGATTAGTGCCAATGAGTCTGCCACAAGGGCCCCCCTATCCCCCAAAGGAAGAGGAGGTCATCTGCAGGAAAAGACCCCTTACCTTCACCTCCCCATAGAAGGGAAAGCAGCCTAGCTTGGACTGATCCTTTTCTCTTGCTAATAACTTTCTTGCCCCACCTCCTTCTAGAAAAATTTCCGTTTTGTACCTCAATTAAAAGCCTAATGTCAGGCGCTTACAATCAGAAAAGCTCATTGGTCGCTGGTACTGCAGGGCTGCTAGGGAAGTTTCGGCTGTTTTCGTTTTAGTGCTTTCTTGAGAAAAATAAATAAATAAATTGGTCCAACTCTAGAGGAGGGGAGAGGATAAGCTCTTTCTTCCGCCCAGGCTCTCAGCCGGGGTGTGTGCAAGGACTCCAGGTGTGAAGGCCCAGCCAGTGTCTGCCAGGGGAAGCAGAGGCAGAGCCTCCAAGGGAGGGATCTCAAACTGCACAGCCGTGGGTTAGAATAACATGGAGGTTGTAAGGAAGAAAGCGGAGAGAAGTGCAGATGAGTGGTGCTAAAGACCAAAAATTCCACTGAGTAAATCTGAGGATGTAACTGGCTTTATTCAATGACTCCTGACTTCCGGTAAAGAGACAGGTTGCGCGTAGTGGGAAGTTTTTATAGGCAGGAGGGTGGGGCAAGGGAGTTGTTATCAAAAGAAAGGATTTTTTCAGATTGGGCCATCTTTTCGGGGGAAGATCTTACCCTGCAGGTGACCTCAGCAGTGCTGATCGGGAAATTTCAGATCCTCTGGGGCGCCTGGGTGGCTCGGTCGTTGAGTGTCTGCCTTCGGTCAGGTCATGGTCCCCGGGGTCCTGGGATCGAGCCCCGCATCGGGCTCCCTGCTCCGTGGGAAGCCTGCTTCTCCCTCTCCCACCCCCTGCTTGTGTTCCCTCTCTTGCTGTGTCTCTCTCTGTCAAATAAATTAAAAATAAAGGTCACATTTCTGGGAGAGGTTGAAACTGCCTTTAGTCTTGGTTTGCTGTTGTGGGGGCAAGTGCCTCCACCTTGGGCCCATTGTTTGTTTTCCAACAGTAGCTACAGGGGGGCCGTAATGGACTTTAAAAGCCAGGGGCAGCTGATGCTTGTGATGTATTGTCTAAGGCTAGGGAACCTTGAAGGGGTTTGTGCAGGAAACCCGGGGTTAGCTCTCTGGCTGTTGGACAGATCCCTGTGGGGCCCATCCACGAGACAGGGAAGGGACTGATTGATGGTCGGGAGGGTAAGGAATGTGCTGGAAGAACTGACAGGTACAAGTGGGATGAGGAGAAGACTCCACGGAGATGATAAGATGCTGTATCATGAAGCAAACGCCAGGCCGAGACGCTGGTCTTTCCCTGGGGAGGCTTTGAAGAGCTCTGGGAAGGAGAATGACGCCCGCAGGTTGCTACCCTGTGCTCTGGGCCTGGTCACCCCCAGCCTCAGAGAGCAGTAGGTACTGAGCACAGTGAGACAGGACATTTGTTGGTTGATTTCTGCATGTTAATTTCTTTAATGGCCACAGCCACCTCTGAGGCAGGGTGCATGATCTCTGATTACAGAACGGGAAACTGAGGCACAGAGCGATGAAGTGACTTGCTTGACAGCCTACGTTGGAGCCCAAGTCAGCTCTACCTGGGGACACTCGGCAAGTCCTTCCTGTTTGTATTGACACAGGGCTCCACATGCTTCACCAGTTAGTGCCGGACTTCTCCTCTCCCCCAGGGGCCACGACTCCTCAGGCCAGCACCGGGCTCTAAGCCATCCTCATTCGCTTGTCTTGATCTCATTCACTCACTGGTGCTGGTGGCCTCCTTATCCTCAGGTTCCCTCGACTTCATCTCGTGAAAGCTGAAGGAGGCGTAATGGAGCTCCTGTTCGTCCCCCGAGGGAGGGGCATCCCTGACAGGGGTCACTTGGGCTGGGGGGCTGTCTGGCCTGGGCTTTCGCCTGGAATCCTGAGTAAAGAAGAAACAAGGGAGTCAGAGAAGGAATAAGGCAGGTGTGGTCCCCAAGGGAAGTTGGGCTAAAGGGCATTTATTTATTCATCTTCCTATTCATACATACTTCCTACGAATTCAATTATTCACGCATCCATTTAAAATTCTGTAACGTTGGGACGCCTGGGTGGCTCAGTCAGTTAAGCACCTGTCTTCGGCTCAGGTCATGATTCCAGGGTCCCGGGATTGAGTCCCACATCAGGCTTCTTGCTCAGGGGAGATCCTACTTCTCCCTCTGCCCCTCACCCCACTCGTGGTCTCTCTCTCTCAAACAAATAAATCTTTAAAAAAATAAAAATAAAATTCTGTAATGCAAAAATAATAATAATAATAAAATAAAATTCTGTAATGCTATGACTGTTTGGCCATATTGAAGGCTTACTAATCACGTTTAATCCTCACAAAAAACCAGTGTGAATGATACTTATTCTCCCCATTTTACAGATTAGGGAGACTGAGGTGGGGGAAGGTGAAGTAACTTGCCCAAGTCACTCCTCTAGTCACCAGCAGAGCCAGGAACAAAACTCAGGCCTGCTGTGTTATTGGAAATAAAAAGAGGCAGAAATACTTGAACAAAAATAAAGATAAAATTCCCAGAATTGAAGAAAGATAAACCACCTCAGCTGAAAAGGGCCCCACAAATGCAAGAAAAAAGACCAGGGAAACCACATACCCAATACAGCATAGTAAATCTTAAGAATATCAAAACGAAAGAGAAAAATGTAAAAGTTTCTAGGGACAATGAGTGGATCACTTACAAATGTGCAAGATTCATACAGACATAGATTTTTTTTCTTTTCTTTTCTTTTTCTTTCTTTTTTTTTTTTGCGAGAGAGAGAGAGAGAGCTGGCATGCGTAAGTAGGGGGAGGGGCAGAGGGAGAGGGAGAGAGAGAATCTCAAGCAGACTCCCCAGTGAGCACAGAGCCCGACATGGGGCTTGATCTCACAATCTCATGATCCTGAGATCAAGAGTCAGACACTTAATCACCTGAGCCACTGAGGCGTCCCCAGACATAACATTTCTTAACAGCAACACTGGGTACAAGAAACAATAGGGTACAGTGTTTAAAGCATTGAAGGAAGGGGGTGCCTGGCTGGGCTCAGTGGGTAGAGCGTGTGACTCTTAATCTTGGGGTTGCGAGTTTGAGTCCCAAGTTGGGTGTAAAGATTACTTAAAAGAAAAATAAGACAAAATAATAAAGCATTGAAGGAAAATCACTATGATCCTAGAATTTTTTTTTAAGATTTTATTTATTTATTTGACAGAGAGAGACACAGCGAGAGAGGGGACACAAGCAGGGGGAGTGGGAGAGGGAGAAGCAGACTTCCCGCGGAGCAGGGAGCCCGATGCGGGGCTCGATCCCAGGACCCTGGGATCACGACCTGAGCCGAAGGCAGACGCTTAACAACTGAGCCACCCATGTGCCCGATCCTAGAATTTATATCCTGCCAAGTGAAATTCAAATGTAGGAACATTAAAAAAGAATTTCAAACACACAAGTCCTCAGAAGTCTTAATACAAGAAAATCCAAATTGAAAACACATTGGGAAGAAGAATCCAAATAAAAGTAACAAAACCTGAAAATGCTGCAATAAATCTGGGGTACAAAGGTGACAAAATACCCCAGTAAAATGTGTGGCTGTGTATTAAACAAAAGACCATATAGAAAAATGTTAAGTATGTTCATAATAACCCAGAATGAGAAATGAAGATCTAGAAAAAGCACCAACATTGTGGAAAGTGGAGGGAAAGAAGAACAAGAGATACATAAAAGTACACTGAAGTTTTTTTGTTGGGTGTAAGAGAGATATTAATTTTTTAAGAAAGGAGAAAATGAAATACTGAAAAAAATGGAACCAAGTGAAAGGAAAAGTTAAAATAGGAGAACAAAATCCGCATGTATTAACAACCACAGAAAACACAAATAGAGGAGGTCAAATTGGTTTTGTAAAAACCTGGCCGGCTCAGTCAGGAGTCTCTTAATGCCAGGGTTGTGAGTTCAAGCCCCATGTTGGGTGCGGAGCCTGCTTAAAAAATTCTTTAAAAAAAAAACCTGGTTATATGCTGTTTACAAAAATCACTTCTGAAGTATAAATAAAATGTTGTTGGAGGAACAGAGGATGTAAAAATATCAGACATCTTACTAGCCAATGACAAATTGGTGTATCTATATTAAGATCCAACCAAATAGACTTTAAAACAAAAAGTATCAATAGCAATAGAGAGGATCACTATGTGTGATCAAATGTTCAATTCACTGAGAGGATACAGCATTTCTAAAATACATGGACTCACAACCTGGAGATCAAGAGTAGTATGCTCCACCAACTGAGCCAGCCAGGTGCCCCAAACTGGGATACTTTAAAAAAAAATTTTTTTAAATGGGCTCCACACCCAATGTGGGGATCAAACTCACAACCCTGAGATCAAGAGTCACATGCTCTTCCGACTGAGCCAGAAGGCGACCCTGTGATATTTTTTAAACAAACAAACAAACAAAAAACTGTTAAAATGGCCAACAGACACATGAAAAAATGCTCCACATCACTCGGCATCAGGGAAATATAAAGCAAAACCACAATGAGATACCACCTCACACCAGTCAGAATGGCTACAATTAACAAGACAGGAAATGACAGATGTTGGTGAGGACGCAAAGAAAGGGGAACCTTCCTACACTGTTGGTGGGAATGCAAGCTGGTGCAGCCACTCTGGGAAACAGTATGGAGGTTCCTCAAAAAGTTGAAAACAGAGCTACCCTACGACCCAGCAATTGCACTACTGGGTATTTACCCCAAAGATAAAAATGTGATCTGAAGGGGCATGTGCACCCCAATGTTTATAGCAGCAATGTCCACAATAGCCCAACTATGGAAACAGCCCAGATGTCCATTGACAGATGAATGGATAAAGATGTGGTATCTATATACAATGGAATATTATTCAGCCATCAAAAAGTGAAATCTTGCTATTTGCAACAACGTGGCTGGAACTAGAGGGTGGGTTTTTTTTTAAGATTTTATTTATTTTATTTGAGAGAGAGAGCATGAGAGGGGGAAGGGTCAGAGGGAGAAGCAGACTCCCCACTGAGCAGGGAGCTCAATGAAGGACTCAATCCCGGGACTCCAGGATCATGATCTGAGGCGAAGGCAGTCGCCCAACCAACTGAGCCACCCAGGCACCCTGGAACTAGAGGGTGTTATGCTAAGCGATATAAGTCAATCAGAGAAAGACAATTATCATATGATCTTGCTGATATGTGGAATTTAAGAAACAAAACAGAGATTCATAGGGGAGGAGAGGAAAAAATAAAACAAGAAGAAATCAGAGAGGGAGACAAACCATAAGAGACTCTTAATCATAGGAAACAAACTGAGGGTTGCTGGAGGGGAGGTGGATGGGGATGGGGTAACTGGCTGATGGACATTAAGGAGGGCACGTGATGTAATGAGCACTGGGTATTATATAAGACTGTTGAATCACAGACCTGTACCTATGAAACCAGTAATACATTATATGTTAATTTTTAAAAAATGAAAAAAAAACTGTTAAAATACTTCAATGTCTATATACAAATTATTAGAACTAACAAGGGAGCTTAGGGGCGCCTGGCTGGCTCAGTCAGTGGAGCATGCGACTCTTGATTTCAGGGTAAGTTTGAACCCCACGTTGGGTGTAGAGATAACTTAAAAATAAAATATTGGGCGCCTGGGTGGCTCAGTTGGTTAAGCAACTGCCTTCGGCTCAGGTCATGATCCTGGAGTCCCGGGATCGAGTCCCGCATCGGACTCCCTGCTCAGCAGGGAGTCTGCTTCTCCCTCTGATCCTCCCCCCTCTCATGCTCTCTCTCTCTCTGTCTCATTCTCTCTCTCAAATAAATAAATAAAATCTTTAAAAAATATATTAAAAAATAACTAACACGAGAGCTTAGCAAGCTGGAAGAATATAAGATCAATAAATACGTAATTGCTGTTCACACACTGTTGCATCTACTGAGAGAATGAAGACAATCCTCAGCATCCAGACCAGCACCCCAAAGAGCTGGGTGTCACTGTGAAGAGATGAACATTTATAGTGGAGCCCCAGAAGAACTCTGCAGGGGTGTTCAGTCCCACCAAAGTAGAAAGTAGAAGGAGAAGCTGTTTGGACAAATTAAGGAACTGGCTACTGTTCAATCTTTTGCCACCTACTACCAACACTCCATGTGACACAGATCTCTGTGACCAAAGAATGGAGTCTGAATGTGCTCATTTCCCCATCACTGATTCAGGAGAGTGAGTTATTTATTGAAATATGAAATCTCTTAGAAGAAAAATACATCTGCAGAGGATGCATGAGGCCAGATTTCTTGTGCAGTATCTGAAGTCCAAAAGGATGAGTTGATTCTTGAACAAAATGACATTATATTTGCATCAAATTCAGCTGCTTTGATTCAGCTAGCCATGACAGTTAAAAACAAGAATATCGGGGCACCTGGGTGGCTCAGTTGGTTAAGCGACTGCCTTCGGCTCAGGTCCTGGAGTCCCAGGATCGAGTCCCGCATTGGGCTCCCTGGTCGGCAGGGAGTTTGGTTCTCCCTCTGACCCTCCCCCCTCTCATGTGCTTGCTCTCTCTCATTCTCTCTCTCTCAAATAAATAAAATAAAATCTTTAAAAAAATTATAAAAAAAAACAAGAATATCACAAAATTTTCAGATGGTATCTCTCTGTAAAAGCATGGTGCAGGAGGCTTATGAGTAGATCTAAGAATGCTCCAGCTACCAAACCAACAGGAATCTAAATGACACCTAAGACCAATTTGTAATTTTTTTAAATTCTAAAACACTTTATAAATTTTTTAAAGTTTATTAGTATTATTATTATTTTTAGTAATCTCTACACCCAGCATGGGGCTTGAACCCATGACCCTGAGATCAAAAGTTGCATACTCCTCCCACTGATCCAGCCAGGTGTCCCAACCTTTCATAATTTTTTCTTAAAGATTTATTTATTTATTTGAGAGAGAGTGAGGTGTGTGTGCATGTGTGCACGAGTGGGGGGGGCGGGTAAGGGGAGAGAGAGACAGAGTTATGAGCAGACTCACACTGAGCACAGAGCTTGGTGCAGGGCTCAATCTCACCACCCTGAGATCATGACCCGATCCAAAATCAAGAGCCGGCCGCTCAACAAACTGAGCCATCCAGGCACCCCAACTCTTCATAAATTTTTAACAAATGTTTTCATCCTGCATATCATTGATGAGTGATCAGAAAATGCACCTTTAAAAAGATAGCATTTAAGGGATGCCTGGGTGGCTCAGTTGGTTAAGCATCTGCCTTTGGCTCAGGTCATGATCCTAGGGGCCTGGGATCGAGCCCCACGTCGGGCTCCTCTGCCTCTAGCTCCCCTTGCTTGTGCTCTCTCTCTCTGACAAATAAATAAAATCTTTAAAAACAATAAATAAAAAGATAGCATTTATAATAGTAACAAAACTAGTTATTAAGGAAGTAAAATAACAAAAGGTTTGCAAGACCTGTCTGAAGGAATTCTACATCTTTCTTGGAAAAACTTTAACTAATAGATACCTGTTCTTGTGCACAAGAAGACTTGAATTTATAAATAAGTAAATTCTTCCCGAGTTGATACACAGGTTCAATGTAATTCCAGTAAAAAACCAACAGGAGTGTTTTTTGGAACTAGACAAACTGATTCTAATGTTTATATAGAACAGCAAAAGGCCAAGAATAGCCAAGACGCTATTAAAGAAAATTAAGGAGGTGCTCCTGCTCTATCAGATATCAGGACTTGGTCTCGAATTATTGCCTTGCCTCTAGGGACAGTTCTGACTCAGGGACAGTTAAATTGACCACTGGAATAGAATACATTTTGATGTATGATGGGGGCACCTAGATGGCTCAGTCAGTAGCACATGTGACTCTTGATCTCAGGGTTGTGATTTTGAGCTCCATATTAGGCATGGAGTCTATTTAAAAAAAAAATGAAGAAAAGGGGCACCTGGGTGGCTCAGTGGTTTAAGCGTCTGCCTTCGGCTCAGGTCATGATCTCAGGGTCCTGGGATCAAGCCCCACGTCAGACTCCCCAGTCAGCAGGGAGTCTGCTTCTCCCTCTCGTTCTGCCTGCCACTCCCCCTGCTTGTGCTCTCTCTCACTCTCTTCCTCTCAAATAAATAAATAAAATCTTTAAAAAAAAGAAATTATACTTGAATATCCTTCTAATCTTAGGATAAGAAAGATTTTCTTTTTTTTTTCTTTTTTATTTATTTATTTGAGAGAGAGAATGAGACAGAGCACGAGATGGGGGAGGGTCAGAGGGAGAAGCAGGCTCCCCGCCGAGCAGGGAGCCCGATGCGGGACTCGATCCCGGGACTCCAGGATCATGACCTGAGCCGAAGGCAGTCGCTTAACCAACTGAGCCACCCAGGCGCCCAAGAAAGATTTTCTTAAATGAGACCCAAAAGTCACTCAACAGAGAAGAGGAGATTGGTGAATATGGTTATATTACAATTAAGAACTAACGTTCATCAAGGTCACCTTTAAAAAGTGAAGGCAAGTTAATCACTGGGAGAAGATATTTACAATGCATATAACTGGGAAAAAAGTATGAAAATGTATAAAGCTCTTCAATAAATTCAATAAGAAAGTCAAACACCCAATACGGCATTGGGCTGCAGATGGGACCGGGCATTTTAGAGAGGAGGTGTTCGTATGCCAGTAAGACAGAGAGATTTTCATCCTCACTGGCAACCAGTGAAATGCAAATCAATACCATAGTGAGATAGTGAGATGACAAAAAAATTTCAGAAAACCAAGTGCTGCAGAGATTACAGATCAACAGGATACGAAAGGCACAGATGGATGTATAAAAGGATGCATTTGCTCTGGAAAACCTTGTAAATCGGAATATTCACACACCCTCCCACCTAGTAATTAAATCCTTACATAATGCTGAAGAAAAACTCTTGCATGTGAATGCAATGAGATATGCAAGAACATCTGGAACAACTCAAATGTCCAGCAACAGGAGCTTAGGCAATAGACAAAATCATAAAATGAAACAGACAACTGCAACTTCATGCAACGTGGATGAATCTCCATGACATAACTTACAGTGTTGGGTCTACAAAAGCAAGTCCAAGAAGAGTGCACAGAATGTGACCAACCTTTGTAGGTTCAGAAGTAATTAAACTAATCAGCATCTATTTCAGGCATACGTATATGGGATAATGTTAGCAACAAAAGATTCAGAGCAATGGTTACTGGGGATGCGTCACAGAGCAACCTGAGCAGATGGAAGTTAGGGTCAGTGTTTGAGGTCTCAGGTTGGACGGTAGGCTCACAGTTGCTTATCATATTGTGAACAAAATGAGTAAATACTAATGAACAATGCTTGTTCCTGCGATAAGAGGTTGGTCACAAATAAAACATTTTGGATAACACCATTTAGGGTAATATGGATGTAATTTTATAGGGGAGAGGGGACATGTTGCATACAGCTAGAGTGAGAGACAATTGCAGCCCCCTGCCCTCAAAGACATCACAAATATGAGAGGGCGGAGATAAGGCAAAGGCGGTGATGTTGTGTGAGGGGCCCCTCAAGACAGGGATGGACACAGAGCTCTGGGCACATAGGGGAGAGAGGCATGGACACTGGCAGGGAGGGAGATGGCAAAGGTTTCCCAGAGCCGAAGATGCTGGTACTGGAGCTAGAAGTATGATCACACAAGGTGGTCTGGTGGAAGTCGAGACAGGAGAGCATTCCAGGTGGGAGGAACTGTACATGCAAAGGCCTCAAGTCATAGGGGAGCAGGTGTGTATGGAGACCATGAGAAGGTCGGTGTGGCTGGACCATAGCCAGACCAGGGCTGGAGTGGCCATCAGGGGAGACTTCTAGAAGTACTTTAAATATCAGACCAAGAAATGTGACTCAATTCTCTAAACAACGGGAGCAAACAACATAATTGAAACTCCCAAATGGCTGGAAAGCAATAGATTTCGGGAGAGGTTCTGTCAGGCTATGTCCAGCAAAGAGTGATCAGCAGGGGTGGGACAAGAGGTGACCAGAGGGCCACTGGGTCTGGGAGATGAAGGCGAAGAACAGAAGGGATGCCAACTCCCAGGTGTCCACCCAGGTGACCAGCGTGGAGCAGGGGATGGGGAAATGCTAGGAGCTCCATCTGGACTCTGAAAGGACAAGCCCGGGGCCCCGCAACTGCATGAGAGGACGCCAGCATCACTCACCCAGGCAACTGTACCCATGACAGGATCTTCATTACCCAGGCCCTCTCGACTCCTGGATGCTTGCTTCCTGCGGGCTTTTACTCTAAGGGGAGAAACGAACACACTGCAACCAGGATGGCTCAGGCACCCATGGGCAGGCTGCCCGTTCTCTGGTGAAAGGGCATCCAGACCCCGGAAGTAACCTCAGACCTTCCTGACCTGCAAGTAAGCACTCCATCCCCCTGGATGAGCAGAGGTTCGGCCAGACCAAACCTCCATCACTAAAGATCCCTCTAACACATTAAAAACTTGTGCCCGAGTGGTCATAGCAGTGTTATTTGTGATAGCCAAAAAGTAGAAACAGCCCAAATGTCTATCAGTAGATGAATGACAAACAAAATGTGCTCCACCCATGCAATGGAATGGTATATGGAAATAAAAAAAGGATGCAGTATCGGGCGCCTGGGTGGCTCAGTCAGTTACGCGTCTGCCTTCAGCTCAGGTCATGACCCCGGGGTCCTGGGATCGAGCCCCACTTGGGCTCCCTGCTCAGCGGGGAACCTGCTTCTCCCTCTGCCTCTGCCTCTCCTCCCCACTTGTGCTCACTCTCTCTCAAATAAATAAATAAAAATCTTTGGAAAAAAAAGGATCAAGGACTGACACATGCCACAACATGCATGAACCTTGAAAACATCATGCTAAGTGAACGAGGTCAGTCACAAAGGACTGCGTGTTGTATGATTCCGCTTACACAGAATGTTCGGAATAGGCAAACGTAGGGAGACAGAAAATAGATTGGCGGTTGCCTAGGGCTGGGGGAGGATGGGGACAGGATGAAAATTAAGGAGTGGAGGGTTTCTTTGGTTTGTTTCTCTTTCATTTGGGGGCTGATGCAAAAGTCCTATAATTGTGGTAATGGATGCACAACTCGGAATACACTAAAAGCCATTGAATTGTACACTGTAAATGTCTGGGAAGTATATCTCAGGACAGCTGTTATCCCCCCACCGCCCAAAAGAGATGCCCTCTGGATCTACTCTACTCCGCTCTGCATTTCTGGGATTGAGTGACCTCTCTCCGCACTCCCTGTACCTCCCCGGACAAAGACTTACATGCAAAAGAAGATGAGGCACAGACTTAGGGACAGCAGGGCCCCAGCACCAGCACCTCCAAGAGCGGCAGGCAAGGCTCCTGCCAGGAACACCGATTTCCCTGCAGAGAAGAGGTGTGTCAAGACTCACTTCCAGGACTCAGTCTCTTGCTTTCCTACCTCCTTGCAGAACTTGCTGAAGGGCCAGCTTAGGCCAGAGATGGAGCAGCACCCTATCCCACCAATCGCCCTCTGTGCAGGCCCCAGCCCCAGCCAGCCCCAGGCTTCTCTAGGACTCCCTTCCCCTACACCTTGGCCCCCAACAGCCCCCGGACCTGGCAGCACCAGGATAGCCATGCTCTGTTTCCCGTGGGCGTTCCGGGCCTCGCAGCTGAGTCTGAGGCCAGAGCCCAGCGGCCCGCTGAGGCTCAGGGAGCTGTTGGCCCAGGGCCCCGCCGAGCTGGAGGTGATGGTCCAGGAGGCGTTGCTGTGGTTCCCCTCCAGCAGCCCCTCCCCCAGCCGCCAGCGCAGGGTGGGGGCCGGCTGGGCTCAGGAGGAACAGCTGCAGTGCAGCCCCTCGCCCTCCCAGGAGCAGGAGGGGCTGAGCAGCCGCGGGGGGTCTGCGGGAGGGAGGCGAAGGGTCAGCGGTGTCTCTCCTGCCCAGGCCCCGGGCAGCCTGCCCCCAGGGGTCCCCACACTCACAGAGCACAGAGAGATGCAGGGAGATGTGCTGGGAGCCCAGCGGGTTCTGAGCTTGGCAGGTGAGGTCTCCTTCCTCTGCAGCCCCTACTTGAGGCAGGTCCAGGTTTGCACTCCTGTAGATGGGGGTGGCATTCTGGGCGGGGGACCCCCGGAACCAGCTCAGCTCGGCAGGGGGACTGCTCTCAGCAGCACAGAGCAGACCGAGAGCCTGGCCCTCCAGGATGAGAACCGATGAGGTGTTTTGCAGAATCTTCGGGACTTTGGGAGAGAGATGCAGAGAGAGGGCACCAGCTGTGGGAGGCTGGCAGTCTCCATCCCTCCCTCCTTTCCAGGAGCTGGTTGGCATCTCCCTCTCCTTTCTTGACCCACTGATTTGGTTCCATCAGGGTTGAAAGCCTGGGCTTTACACCCAAAAGAGGTTGACCTCAAGTGTCTGGGCTTCATATCTTCAGAGGAGGCTCAGTGTCCCACTGGGACGTGCCTGGACTGTTTGGTGGCTTCACTCAGTGAACACAGCAGGAAATAGGATGGAGGAGGCTGGGATGGAGGGGTAGGTGGGAAACCAGAGGAGTGAACTGGTGAGGTGAAATGGGCTTTGAAGAGTTTGTGCGCATGTGTGAGCGTGTAGGAGTGCAGGTGCGTACGTGGGAGGTGGAGGAGGGAGGGTGGTGATTTTTATCCTTGCTTTTCCCATATCTGATCCCATTAAGGCTGTGATCCCCACTGCTTTGCTGGGAGCTGACCCGCTACCCCCACCCCAGGGCCAGGTCCCAGCCCCCAAGAAGACAGGTTCTTTCCTACCTGCAACATCGCTGAAGAAGATGCTGATGTTGAGTTTCTGGGGAGCATCTGGGATGGAAAGATATGGCCCTGCTTCAGACGTGAAGACTGGAAGTTGACCCAGCACCCAAGGAGGGGTAGGGGAACCGGGAAGGTGGGGATTGCTGTTCTTGTCCACTCCCCACCTACACTCCCAAGGCGCGCATGTGCGCATACACACAATCCCCACTGCCCTGAGGGACCCAGCCATCCCTCCAGCACTCACAGGAGACATTGAGCCTGATGGTTCTTTCCACGGTGTCCTGACCTGGCAGGTGCACCTGACAGGTGAGGTTGCTGCCATGGTCCTGCAGCCTCGGGGTGAGGATCAGCACTGAGGAGTGGAGGGTCTGGGGGTCCAGCGAGTCAAGAGCATCCCCCACCCAGGAGAAGGTGAGAGGTCTTCCCTCTTCGCAGGATCCCAGCATACTGCAGGTCAGGTTTGTGGGATAGCCAGACTTCAGGGGCTCCGGAAAGTGGATGTCGGGTTTCTGTGTCAGGGCTGAGGAGGAGAGAGGGAGGTGCTTGGGCCCCAGGGAGGTGGGGACCCAGACTGTGACCCTGAGAGGGACCAGGGCCTCAGGGCACAAGCTGACCCCGGGCCCCCATACCTCTTCCCACCATCCCAGCCCCAAGACCTGGAGCAAGGAATGTTCCAGTGTCCGGTTCCTGTTCTATGAGGGGGTCTCCACGTCCCAGAGCCCTCTTCTGGGGCCCCTGCCGGACCTGCCACCTGCACCATCAGCTTCTTATCTCTGTAATTATATTTCACGTTGTCTCTCTCCATTCGGAACTTGTAGACTCCCTGGTCACTCTTCCTGGCCTCTCTGATTCTCAGGGAGCAGTTGTTGTCCCAGGGGTTCCCGATGAGGTGGAATCGGCCCCGGGCCTCTATCATCACCATTTTCCTTTGGTCATTTGTAGCCACAGGATAACGGCTGTCCCCATTCCGGAACCAGTACACGTAGGGCTTCTCACGGGAATACCACGGGCTCCAGGGGTAGGAGAAGGAGCAGGGCACGTGGACACAGAGACCCTCCTGCACCGTCACTGAGTCCTGCACTCGGAGCTCGAACCCTGGATCCTCCTGCAGGGACCCTGGGGGGACACGGAGGCTCAGCTGCGGCTCCAGCCCACTCCCACCTGTGCCCAGCCAGCCCCCCTCCCTTGGCCCACTTACCCCCCCACAGCAGGGACAGCAGCAGCAGGGGCCCCATGTCTGCACCGGCCAGGGCAGGAGCCCGGGTTCGGGTCCCTCTGTCAGGGAAGGAAATGGCCCGAATGGAGGGTGAGGCCAAGGAAGCCCCAACAGGAAGCCGGGTGTGACAGAGCTGTGGTCACCACAGAAGGGGAACTTTGTCAGCACGGGCCATGGGAGGTGAAGTGGGGGCTGAGAAATCATCCTGGCTCGCCTCTGTATCTGACGCAGCCGGTGAGAATACCGAGGCCCCCTGGAGGCTGGGATGCTTGTCCAGATGTGAATCTGGACGTGATCGCCTTCCAAATGATGTTTATATCAAGAGTGAGGTCAGCGGAGGGCCGGGGCAGCTGGAAAAGAGAAACCGAGTGTGCAGGCAGCCTCAGCCCCTTCCCGCAGCCCTTTCTCTTCCCAGTTCCCCATCGGCCTGTGCATCCAGTCCCGGGGCTGCTTCAGGGAATGCTGTGCAGGGCCAGTGGGTCTTAGCTCCTCACCATGTCCTACAGTCCCTTAGACATGTACCAAACCTGGAGCCCTCTGAGCCCCAGGCTCCAGGATTTCAACAGTCATCCAGACGCATGGCAGCTACATCCAGCCAATCTGCGGAGCCGCTGCTCAGATAAAGAATCTGATGAGCCAACTAGGAAGCAAGCGGGACTCAAGCAACCAGAGGAAAATCTGCAACAGTTGCAATACTCCACAAATGCCAAGGAAACAAATGAATCACTAAACTGGAACTTCAGAAAGATGGCCTCCTGAATGACCTCTCTGGGCTGTAAAGGATTTCCAGGCTGTGCAGGGAAGAGTGTCTGAAAAGGAAAAGGAGCTTATTGCCAGAGCGAGAGATGGATCTCCTCTCTCTGTGGAGGAGAGGCAAAGAGAGAGCAGCTCCCCTCATTTGACAGCCATGAGGAGTGGAACCAGATGCAGAGCCAGGAGGATGAGATGGCCATCACAGAGCAGGATCCAGAACTTACTAAAGAGTGAGGAAGGGGAATTTGGCAGCTGCAGGCTGACATTTTGGATGTCCATCGGATGTCTAAAGATTTGGCCATGATAGGGGCGCCTGGATGGCTCAGTCGGTTAAGCGTCTGCCTTCGGCTCGGGTCATGATCCCGGGGTCCTGGGATCCAGTCCTGCATGGGGCTCCCTGCTCAGCGGGGAGCCTGCTTCTCCCTCTGCCTCTCCCCCCGCTCATGCTCCCTCTCTCTCTCAAATAAATAAAATGTTAAAAAAAAAAAAAGATTTGGCCATGATGATCCATGACCAAGGTGACCCAATGACAGCAGAGAAGCCAATGAGGAAAGTTCCAAGTTGCATGCAGACAAAGCCACTGGTCAGTTACAGCAAGCTGCTTCACTGGCAGAAAAAAAAATCTCACAAGAACATCTACACTCTGGTGCTTGTCCTGTTAGTGATGACTGCAGTCTTGGGACTTATTATCTGGCAAATCGGAAGCAATTGCCTCACAGCTGTCTTTTGCTGAGCTGTTTTCAGGGGCCAGTGCTTCTTGGAGTCTTGCCAGAACAAACAAATATCACAGGAAGAGAACATATATGCTGAAGCGACCTGTCATAATTTAGTTAGAAACTAATGACTAGCTAGACAGTGTTTTTCAATTTACATATACATTACATTGATTTCTCAGATTAGTAGGAGTTAATTTATGTGGATTTTGCCTGCTTTTGTATTCTGATTGCCCTTCATCTCGAGTGCTTACTGAAATTTGCATTCTAGGGGCGCCTGGGTAGCTCAGTGGTTAAGCGACTGCCTTCGGCTCAGGTCATGATCCTGGAGTCCCGGGATCGAGTCCCGCATCAGGCTCCCTGCTCGGCGAGGAGCCTGCTTCTCCCTCTGACCCTCCTCCCTCTCATGCTCTCTCTCTCTACCTCATTCTCTCTCAAATAAATAAATAAAATCTTTAAAAAAAATTTGCATTCTAGATATTCCTTTTTTTTTTTTTAGATATTCGTGTTTTGACAGGTGACACTAGAATCTTGTAATATCACATTTTTAGTGTATACAAGATTCCTCTTTTTACTAGCAACAGAGATAGAATTATCTTCTGGCACCCAGGATATTGGAGCCTGTCAGAAACTATATAATAAGCCAGCATTTTTTATTATTTAACATTTTCTTTTGAATTTCTAAGCAGAAATCTGCTTTGAAAGATTTTGGCAATATCTTTAACTGGAAAGCAAACAATTTCACTGTGATCCAGATTAAAAGTATGGATTGGAGGGGCGCCTGGGTGGCTCAGTTGGTTAAGCGACTGCCTTCAGCTCAGGTCATGATCCTGGAGTCCTGGGATCGAGTCCCGCATCGGGCTCCCTGCTCAGCAGGGAATCTGCTTCTCCCTCTGACCCTCCCCCCTCTCATGTACTCTCTCTCATTCTCGTTCTCTCAAATAAATAAATAAAATCTTTAAATAAAAAAAAAAAGTATGGATTGGAGCCGTCCAGTTGTCGGAGTACATGTTATTCTGGGTTTGAAGTTTTCTTTATTATCTGCTGGTGTCCATGGCAAGCTCGCCCATACACACACTAAACCGTCTTGTTCACTGTTTAAAGCGGTGAATTTAATTAACATAACTATACTCTCTGGGGTCTCTCTCCCCCAGTCTGTATAGAAAGGGAGATTTAGACGAAGCATGCTTTTGAAAGACAAATGGGAATTGTTTGGAATGATTTCATTTTATTGTTGTTCACTTGCGGTTCTACGGTCCCAGTGAACAATGAATGTTGCTATCTCTATGAAAAGGCTGTCCCCTACCCTAGAAGTGTTGCTGGGTATTGGATGGCAGGAAGATTCTAAAAGCTATGTTGAAGTTGGCTTAAGATTTAGTCCTCGTGAACCTGGCAAGAAAGTAACGAAAAGGCTCATTTTTGTAAATAATACTGGTTTGGAATAGTGATGTTCGACTTATGTTAATAGGAACAAAAGATTAATCTGTTCGTGCATAGTTTTAGACAAAAAAAATGCTCCAATAAAAGATTGCTGCCTTGTAATAAGAAATATATATTTTTAAAGATTTCATTTATTTGCCAGAAAGAAAGAGAGAGCACAAGCAGGGAGAGCGGGAGGCAGAGGGAGAAGCAAACGCCCCACTGAGCAAGGAGCCTGATGCGGGGCTGGATCCCAGGACCCCGGGATCACGACCTGAGCCGAAGGAAGATGCGTAACCGACTGAGCCACGCAGGTGCCCAAGAAATATTTTTTAAAAAGAGAAGGGGGGGGGCGCCTGGGTGGCTCAGTTGGTTAAGCGACTGCTTTCGGCTCAGGTCATGATCCTGGAGTCCCGAGATCGAGTCCGCATCGGGCTCCCTGCTCAGCAGGGGGTCTGCTTCTCCCTCTGCCCTCTTCCCTCTCGTGCTCTCTGTCTCTTCATTCTCTCTCTCTCAAATAAATAAATAAAATCTTTAAAAAAAAAAAGACAATTCTATTTTAAAAAAAAGAGAAGGGGGAACTAGTCCTGGAGATTCAGTGTGACTCACCCTCGAGCTGAAAAACCCTGAACATTCTGGAAAAGCATCACTTAAAATTTTCTTAAAACCATGCAAGTTCTGGCAAGGAAGAAAGGAATTTCCAGACCCAAATCCAAGGGAGGGTGGAACGCAGAGGGAAAGCTAAGTTAAATCCCCTTTGTTATGAGGGGTTTTCGGAGCATGGCATCCTCGAAAGTTTGTCCTCATGAATCTGAAGGTCTCATGGAACAGAGATGGCACAAGTCCACTGAAAAGAGCACGTGTTAAGGGGGACCGGTGCCCCATTGGGCGGGACCCCAAAAGTCTGGCTTCAGCAGAGAAGCAAATCTGCCACCCTGAAACTAATGAAGCTCCATCTTCAAGGGACCCTTTTTTGAAAAGTCCTGGCAGGGGCTCAAAGCATGTATGAAAAGACCCTGTAATCCCACTGCCCTCTTAGGAAAGAAACTCGATAAGGTTTCCCCAAACTTGACATTTGACATAAACATTTTAGACATTCTTGTAACAAGCTGTAGGATTGAAAGACAATTTCTTCATGTGTCTGGCTGGCTCAGTCAGAAGAGCATGCCACTCTTGATCCGGGGATTGCGAGTTTGAGCCCCACACTGGGTGTAGAGATTATTTAAATAAATAAATAAAAACTTAAAAAAAGAGTATCAGTCAAAAAAGGTGGGCAACATGTGTTATGCAGGTGTGCCAGAGAGGTATTCCATACTACTAATGAAAATAGCCTCTAATTCTTGGGAGTTGTCTCATATTTTGACTTTGCACATTTTACCTTTTGCAATTTGATGTAGTGCATTTTTTCATTTTCTCATTTAAAAAAATTCATACGTATGCCAAATGTGGTATTTCTTTTCTAAGGAGTGATCTCAATGCTTGTATAAATATTATGCTCCCCAGAACCTAGGACTGTCTCTGCTGAGTGAACAAGAGGTAACAAGAGGTAACCAGGTATATCTCTCCACTCCCCACTCCTCATGAATTGCAGGGGAAATTGCCTTGAGCAAAGCAGGGACTAAAGAAGACAAGTCTCCCACATTGTGCAGCATAAACTCACATCGCCTGGTGGTCTGACAAATCTCAAGCTGGAATCATCAAAAAGACAAACAACAAGAAGTGTTGGCAAGGACGTGAGAAAAAAAGAGAAACTTTGTGCACTGTTGGTGGGAGTGTAATTAGTGCAGTCACTCTGAAAAACAGTATGGAGGTTCCTCAAGAAATTAAAAATAGAACTACCATATGATCTAGCAATCCCACTTCTGGTATATATCTGAAGGAAATGAAAGCACTAAGTCAGAAAGATATATGCACCTGTGTGTTCACTGCAGCATTATTGACAATAGCCAAGATAGGAAATAACGTAAGTGTCCATCCATAGATGAATGGATAAAGAAGATGGAGTTTATATGTACATGATGGAGTATTCTTCAGCCATAAAAAAATTAAGGAAATCCAGGGCACCTGGGTGGCTCAGTTGGTTAAGCATCTGCCTTCGGCTCAGGTCATGATCCCAGGGTCCTGGGATCGAGCCCCGCGTCAGGCTCCCTGCTCGGCGGGAAGCCTGCTTCTCCCTCTCCCACTCCCCCTGCTTGTGTCCCCTCTCTCACTGTGTCTCTCTCTGTCAAGTAAATAAATAAAATCTTAAAAAAAAAAAAAAGGAAATCCTGCCATTTGTGACAACACATATGGACCTCGAGGGCAGTGTGCTAAGTGAAATAAGTCAGACAGAGAAAGACAAATACCATATGATCTCACCTATATGTGAAATCTAAAAAACAAAAACCAAAAACAAACTTACAGATACAAAGAACACATTGTTGGCTGCCAGAGGCCAGGGGCGGGCAGAATGGATGAAGGAGGTCAAAAGGTACAAACTTCTGGGGCGCCTGACTGGCTAGGTCAAAAGAACATGCAACTCTTGATCTTGGGGTCATGAGTTCAAGTCCCATGTTGGGTGTAAAGATTACTAAAAATATAAATAAAAAAACTTTTAAAAAAGTACAAACTCCCAGCTGTAAAATAAGTCCTGGGGATATAATTTACAGCATGGTAACCATAATTAACAATGCTGTATCATGTATTTGAAAGTTGCTAAGAGAGTAGATCTTAAAAGTTCTCATCACAAGAAAAAATGTGTAACTATCTATAGTGATGGATGTTGACTAGACTTAGTGTGGTGATCATTTTCTTTTTTTTTTTTTTTAAGATTTTATTTATTTATTTGAGAGAGAGGATGAGAGGAGAGAGAGAGCACATGAGAGGGCGGAGGGTCAGAGGGAGAAGCAGACTCCCTGCCGAGCAGGGAGCCCAATGCGGGACTCGATCCTGGGACTCCAGGATCATGACCTGAGCCGAAGGCAGTCGCTTAACCAACTGAGCCACCCAGGCGCCCTCATTTTCTTTCTTTCTTTTTTTTTTTTTAAGATTTTTTATTTATTTATTTGAGAGAGAGAATGAGAGAGAGAGAGAGAGAGAGCACATGAGAGGGGGGAGGGTCAGAGGGAGAAGCAGACTCCCTGCCGAGCAGGGAGCCCAATGCGGGACTCGATCCTGAGACTCCAGGATCATGACCTGAGCTGAAGGCAGTCACTTAACCAACTGAGCCACCCAGGCGCCCTCATTTTCTAATATATACAAATACTGAATCATTGTGTTGTACACTCAAAACTAATGATATATGTCTAATGTATTTCAATAAAAAATATTTAAAAAGACCAAAAAAAAAGTCTCAAGCCAGGTACTTAAAGTGGTCCAAGACTTCTAGGCAGGGCTCCATTCACCTCCCAACATCTGCATAACAAATTCTTCATATTAAATTCCCTCTGCTGAAACACATAGCATGGCTTCTATTTTCATGATTGGCCCTTGACCAATTAAATCTCAAGAGATAAAAATTATTAAGCATTGGGTGATTTCAATCGCCTTCATGATAAAACTCATAGCTAACTGGGAATGAAAGAGAACTTCCCCAACAAGATAAAGGGTGTCTTCAGAAAACTGCATACTGTTTGGAGTAGCATGAAGTCCCAGTGTAGTAAGGCAATAAAAATAAGAAAAAGGTATAAGAATTGAAAAGAAAAGAAAGGAAAAGGAAAGGAAAGCAAGGAAAGGAAAAGAAAAGAAAAAAGACATCTTTATGTAGAAAAACCCAAAAGCATATGCAGATACATTTTGGGGCTTAATAAGAGAGTTAGCAAGGTTACTAGAGACAAAATCAAATTACAAAAATTAATTCCATTTCCATATCACAGTAATTTTTTTAAATAGGATTTTATAAAAGATGCCATGGGGGGCACCTGGGTGGCTCAGTTGGTTAAGCTTCTGCCTTCCAGTCAGGTCATGATCCCAGGGTCCTGGGATCAAGACCACATCCAGTTCCCTGCTCAGTGGGGAGTCTGCTTCTCCTTCTCCCTCTGCCTCTCCCCCCTCCTCCCCGTTACTGTGCTCTCTCTCCTTTTCTCTCTCTCGTTCACTCTCTCTCTAATAAATGAATAAAATCTTTAAAATTTTTTTTTTAAAAAAAGATGCCATGGGGGTGCCTGGGTGCCTTGATTTGGGCTCAGGTCATGATCTCAGGGTCCTGGGATCAAGTCCCATGTCGGACTCGGCGTTTGGCAGGGAGTCTGCTTGAGGATTCTCTCTCCCGCTCTCCCTCTGCCCCTCCTCCCCACTCTCTCTCTCTCTCTCTCAAATAAATAAATAAATCTTAAAAAAAAAAGATGCCGTAGACAATAGCATCATAAATCAATATACTTGGAATATATCTATTTAGAGATGTATATAACAAAAATATAATGATGTACACCACCTAAATGGAGGAATTTTAAAATCTGTATTAATAGACATTAAAGATGTAAGTAAATAGAAAAATATGTCATGGTAATGGGGTTAAAACAATATTGTATAAATGTCAAGTGAATCTAAATTAATATGCAGAATCAGAGCAATATATCACCCAATCCCCTTGATGATTTTTGTGGAACTTGATAATGTCATTATAAAATTTATATTGAAGGGGTGCCTGGCTGGCTCAGACAGTAGAACATGCAACTCTTGATCTTGGGGTTGTGAGTTTGAGCCCCACATTGGATGTGGAGATTACTTAAAAATAAATTCCTTTAAAAAAATTTATATTGAAGTAGGGGCGCCTGACTGGCTCAGGGTAGAGCATGAGACTCTTGAACTTGGGGTTGTGAGTTTGAGCATACAAGTGCTTTAGGGGAGAATAGCATCTTCTAATAAACTGAGGAAGTGCTGAATCGTGACCCAGCAATTGCACTTGTAGATTTATGTTCTAGAGCCATGCTGTCCAATATGGCCACACAGGTGGCAATTGACCACCTGAAAGGTAGCTATAAGGCTGTGTGCTCTAAGGGTAGAACACACCAGTTTTGAAGCCTTGCTACAAGAAAATGAATGTAAATTATCTACTTTGGTATTCTGAGACCAATTCCAAATGTAGAGGTGGGGAGGAGTTCCCACCACCACCACCAAGCAATTCTTAGACACCAGCAGGTGTCCGAGAATTCAGTTCAGTTCAATTCTGACACTGCCTACCTGGAGATAGCATCAGATCCCATGGGTTAAGGGTTCGGTCCTACAAGCCTCCCTCCCACCCCCATAACCCCCTTCAGATGCTAGTTGCAAATCCAGGTTGTTACCTGAACTTCTGACCAACTAGCTACAGATCAGGAGTTCTTGGGGACCCATCCTCAGATTTGATTCATTTGCTAGAGCGGCTCACAGAACTCAGAGAAACATTTTACTTACTGGATTACTGGCTTATTACAAGAAGATGTACCTCAGGAACAGCCAGATAGAAGAGATGCACAGGGCCGGGCATGGAGAGAAGGCACGGAGCTTCCACGCTCTCTCCAGGCGTGGGACTAGCTACAGATCAGAAGTTGCCGGGGACCCATCCTCAGATTTGATTCATTTGCTAGAGCGGCTCACAGAACTCAGAGAAACATTTTACTTACTGGATTACTGGCTTATTACAAGAAGATGTACCTCAGGAACAGCCAGATAGAAGAAATGCACAGGGCCGGGCATGGAGAGAAGGCACGGAGCTTCCACGCTCTCTCCAGGCGTGGCAGTCTCCCCACACCGGCATGGGTTCCCCAACCTGGCACCTCTCTGAACTCAGTCCTCTTGGATTTTTATGGAAGTTTCATTATATAGGCATGGTTGATTAACTCATTGATCATTGGTGATTGATCCCAATAGGAAGACTAACTCAAAATGAAGTCAGATACAAGCTACACGATGCATGAAATAAACTTGAAAATAAGCCAAAAGCACACCAGAGGTGACTCTCCCAAAGAGAGAAGATAAAAAATAAAATCCTGAGACATAGGTCACCGTTCTCATTAAGACCCATTAAAACAACAACAACAATGCATCTACATACGTCGGGGTGGCTGAAATTGAAAGACTAATTTTATTCAGTGTTGGAGAGAATGTGGAGAGCCAGAACTCCTCAGACCCTGCAGGTGAGAATGCAGATGAGCACAATCACTTTGCAAAATTGCTCAGCAGGACAGCTATACCCCCTTGATCCACAGTTTGACCTGCTATGGTTTCAGTTCCCCTGTGGTCAACTGTGGTCTGGAAGCAGAGGCTTTTCCTTCTGCTGACCCCGTCAGAAGGCCAATAGGAAGGAGCCTAGCACTACGTCACAAGCCAACGTCATTCCCGTCACTTCATCTTATCACGTGGGCATCATCCACATCATCACAAAAAGAAGGGTGAGGACAGCACAATAAGATATTTTAAGGGAGAGACAGAGAGATCACATTCCCATAAATTTTATGACAGTCTATTGTTATAGTTATGCTTTGTTATTAGTTATGGTTGTTAATATCTTACTGTGCCTAATAGATAAATTTAACTTTATCATAGGTTTGTAGATATAGAAAAAACATAGTATATATAGTGTTTGGTATTACCGTTGGTTGCTGGCATCCACAGGGGAGTCTTGGAATATATCTCTTACACAAATTATACTTGCCTTTGGTGCTGGGGATGCAGGGAAGAAGGCTCTGCTCTCCTGCTGGGGGAAAGGACATCAGCTTGCACATGACAATGACCCATCACCTTTTTTAAAAATTTCTAAATATATATTTTTTAATTTAAATTCAATTAATTAACATATAATGTATTATTGATTTCAGAGGTAGAGGTCAGTGTTCCATCAGTTTTATATAATACCCAGTGCTCATTACATATCATGCCCTCCTTAATGTCCATCATCCAGTTACCCCACCCCCTCACCCACATCCCCTCCAGCAGCCCTCAGTTTGTCTCCTATAGATTAAGAGTCTCTTATGGTTTGTCTCCCTGATTTCTTTTTCTTTTATTTTTTCCTCTCTTCCCCTATGGTCCTCTGTTTTGTTTCTTAAATTCTACATATCAGCAAGATCATATGATAATTGTCTTTCTCTGATTGACTTATTTCACTTAGCATAACACCCTCCAGTTCCATCCATGTCATTGCAAATGGCAAGATCTCGTTCCTTTTGATGGCTGCATAATATTCCATTGTATATATACACCACATCTTCTTTATCCATTCATCTGTCGATGGACATCTGGGCTCTTTCCATAGTTGGGCTATTGTGGACATTGCTGCTATAAACATTGGGGTGCACATGCCCCTTCAGATCACATTTTTATCTTTGGGGTAAATACCCAGTAGTGCAATTGCTGGGTCGTAGGGTAGCTCTGTTTTCAACCTTTTGAGGAACCTCCATACTGTTTTCCAGAGTGGCTGCACCAGCTTGCATTCCCACCAACAGTGTAGGAGGGCTCCCCTTTCTCTGCATCCTCGACAACATCTGTCATTTCCTGAGTGGTTAATTGTAGCCATTCTGACTGGTGTGAGGTGGTATCTCATTTTGGTTTTGCTTTGTACTTCCCTGATGGCGAGTGATGTGAAGCATTTTTTCATGTGTCTGTTGGCCATTTGTATGTCTTGTTTTTGCTTTTAATTAGTATTCCATGTGTGAATATCATTCAAGTTGTTTATTCTAAAATAGAATGGCTGCGGGACGCCTGAGTGGCTCAGTCGATTAAGCAGCTGCCTTCGGCTCAGGTCATGATCTCAGGGTCCTGGGATTGAGTCCTGCATCGGGCTCCTTGCTCAGCGGGGAGCCTGCTTCTCCCTCTCCCTCTGCTTGTGCTCTTTCTTTGCCAAATAAATAAATAAAATCTAAAAAATAAATAAATAAAATACAGTGACTGCATTTGTTTCTGGTTTTTGGCTTTTATTTATAATTTTGATATGGATTTTTCAATGAAAAAAGGAGGACAAACACTTTTTTTCATGGTGGAAATGGAATTGCTCCATCATGAAGTAGGCATTTAATCAGCTACAGAGGATAGCACTAAAGAGTTCTCCAGAATACCCAAATGAATTCACATCCCCACCCCGACGTTCACATTTGAAAGTTCTAATCTCGATACTTCCAGCCATTCCACTTCTAGGTAGATACCCAAGAGAATAGAAATCAGGGACTGAAACAGATCTTTGTGCACCCATGTTCACAGCAACTTCATTCTCAACAGCCAAAAGCTGGAAGCAACCCAAGTGTCCATCAGTGGATAAATGGATAATCAAAATGTGGTGTATACACACAATGGAATATTATTCGGTCATGAAAAGAAAGGAATTCTAACACAGGTTACAACATGGGTGAACCTTGTGGATAGTATGCTGAGGGAAATAAGCCAGACAAAAAATGACAAATGTTGTACGATTCTACTTAGATGAGGTACATGGTGCAGTCAAAGTCATAGGAACAGAAAGTAGAATGTTGGTTGCCAGGGGCTGGGAGGAAGGGAAATGCAGAGTTATTGTTTATTGAGTACAGAGTTTCAGTTTGGGAAGATGAAAAAGTTTTGGAAATAGATGATGGTGATGGTTGCCCAACAGGGTGAATGTACTTAATACCATTGAAGTGTATACTTTAAAATGGTCAGAATAGCCAAGACGGTATTTTGTGTTATGTTGACTTTACCAAAATAAACATTTCTTTTTTTAAAAAAGATTTTATTTTATTTATTTGAGAGAGAGAGCACACGCATTGGCGGGGCGAGGGGCAGAGGGAGAGGGACAAGCAGACTCCCCGCTGAGTGCAGAGCCTGACACAGAACTCTACATGGGGCTCCATCCCAGGCCCCTGATATAATGACCTGAGCTGAAGTCAGAAGTTTCGCTGACTGAGTTACCCAAGTGCCCTGCACCTGGCTGTCTTCTAAGATCACAGCAGCAGATTTCAGTTTTACGGTACAAACCAGTACAGCAAATCCTGCATCCTGCTCAAATTTAACAACCACAGAAGGTGACTGGATCTCCCACACTTAATAATTGTAGAGAACACAAAGCTGCCAACCCAACACAATATGTGGGAGAGTTCCTAAAGGTGATTGTCTCTAAAGGCAAGGGAAACAAAGGCAAAAATGAACTATTGGGACTTCATCAAAATAAAAAGCTTTTGCACATGGGGTGCCTGGGTGGCTCTGTCAGTTAAACGTCTGCCTTCGGCTCAGGTCATGATCCCAGGGTCCTGGGATCGAGCCCCGCATCGGGCTCCCTGCTCAGCGGGAAGCCTGCTTCTCCCTCTCCCACTCCCCCTGCTTGTGTTCCCTCTCTCGCTGTGTCTCTCTCTGTCAAATAAATAAATAAAATCTTAAAAAAAAAAAAGGGCTGAAGGGCGCCTGGGTGGCTCAGTCGTTAAGCGCCGGCCTTCAGCTCAGGTCATGATCCCGGGGTCCTGGGATCGAGCCCCGCATCGGGCTCCCTGCTCGGCGGGAGGCCTGCTTCTCCCTCTCCCACTCCCCCTGCTTGTGTTCCCTCTCTCGCTGTGTCTCTCTGTCAAATAAATAAATAAAATATTTTTTTTTAAAAGTCTTCTTTGGAACATGCTCAACAAAAAAGGATACACGATTAAGATATAAATTTGCTCTAGAAACTTCCACAGAGACATTAAACAGTAAAATCAATTTTAATGTTGCATTTTTAATAAAACTTTTATTTATAATTAAATGTGATGTTCTGTAGCAATTATTATGAGGTAGGTGTCTTTCATCTGGGAAAGAAAAGCTGTATTCTTGACTCTCCTGTGTACGGCTGTCCACACTGAGAAGGAAGTTTGGGAGACCAGAAACTCAGGGTTTAAGCAGGTAACTGCCGGGTCCTGGGAAGTAAGCCAGGGGAACTCCCTTTGCAGGGGCAGGGCTGGGGCTGGAGAGGAGGAGGGTGGGAGGGGTGTGGGAGGCAGCACCAGCAAGGAGAGGCAGGCTGAGCGGATCAGTGGAGGTGTGTATTAGATTTTTTATTTCCTTTATCTTAAAAAGCTTGCCCTCTGGGGAGAGACCGCACCACCCAGGGCCAGCCAGTTCTTAAAGAGGGCAAAGTGCTCTGCCAGGAGCCCACCTTTCAGATCAAACCAACCAATCCCCAGCCCGTGTCCCCCAAACACCCTATTTATTTATTTGAGAGAGAGAGAGAGCACAAGCAGGGGGAGCGGCAGGCAGAGGGAGAAGCAGGCTCCCCGCTGAGCAGGGAGCCCCATGAGGGGCTCGATCCCGGGACTCTGGGATCATGACCTGAGCTGAAGGCAGATGCTTAACCAACTGAGCCACCCAGGGGCCCCCAAACACCATTTTTCTCTAACTCACACACCCTGCCCTAAATCACCAAGGATAGGTATAAGACAACTAGACCCACCCCTATAGGCCAAAGCGCCCCAGAATTACTCAAACTAGCTGATCCTGAGCTATACTCTTGGCCTTGCCTTTCCTACACAAAACCCAGGAAAGGCTTTTTCGAGGCTTCTCCTGCACCTGCTTCTGCCTCCCAACCAAGACGTAGTGCTTCTTCCCCTGTGGCCCTGCATAGCGTGGCATGCCACGTTTCCTTGGGAAAGCAGTAACTTCTTCTGATGGGGTTAGCCTCTCCAGGTCATCGCTCATTCACCTCCCCAAATTAAACTCCCAGGGGTACAAGTGAGAAGGTTTGAGTTGAGAGGTTCCAGGAAGAGCCTGACCATGACATCCCGTATCTGTCCCCCTGGGCTCCAGGTCCACACCTCAGTCCTGTCTTGAGAAGGAAGGAGGCTCGATCAGGCCTCTCAGCCCCACTCCCTGGGGGTCTCCACACCTGCAGAACCAACACGGGTCTCAGATCAGAGAGCTACCACTTTAGTTCTAACTCCAGGCAGGGTGGGACAGCTCAGCACCACCTGGAACTCAGGAGCCAATCACCAGACTTCCCTGGAGAGGGACAGGCCCGCTCACCTGCTGTAGTAGATCCAGGTGAGTCCATAGGTGAGGAGGAAGCCAGCCCCCATGAGGACCCCTCTGATCAGGGTGATGACCAGCGGCCAGGAGCCCTCCTGCTTCTCAGTCACACAGTTGCAAGAAGAGGGGGTTCCTGCAGAAGGGGATCCAGAGGATGAAGTTCCCCAGACCCCAGTCCCTTCTACATCCCAAACACCTGACCAGACTGACCACCCCCAGAAACTGTATTACAACTCACTCTGCACAAAGAGGCAGAAGGAAACGTGCTGGGAGCCCAGCGGGTGCTGAGCCTGGCAGGTGAACTCCCCTTCATCCTCAACCCCTACATGGGGCAACTCCAGGACCCCAGGTGCTGAGGGCTGGGACGGGCTCAGGGCTTTTCCCTCCCGGGACCAGCTCAGCGTGGCGGGGGGGTTGCTCTCAGCGATGCAGACCAGGCGCAGGAACTGGCCCTCCAAGACAGGCAGTGACGTGTGGTTGCACGGTGTCTTCAGGACTGGGTAAGAGATTCACCACAAAGCGGGTGGAGCCGAGAGATCCAGCTCTCCCTCCATCTTCCCATAGAGCCAGAAATAGGAAGACAGGGCCATGTGACAAGGGCTAAGGAGTCGGCTAATCATGGCTGAAGGGGCAATGACTCTGGTGGTCAAGTCGGGCCACCAGAGAGAAGGAGGCTCTGCTGCAGTGGGCAGGGCGAGTGGTGGGCGGGCAGCTCTGGCGGACATGCGCCAAGAATCTGAAACCGCCTGGTAGATGAGGGGAAGCGCACTTGCACCTGTAACTTGGCAGGGAGGACCGGGAGCACCAGAGGCACGATCACGGTGGGAGAGAAGGCAGAGTCAGAAATTTTGGGGCTCTGAGTGCCGGGCTGAGGGCATTGGGCTTTCCCCTGAGGTTACTGGGAAGCAGTAGGGGCTATGAGTAGGGGAAATGCAAATCAGTGCTGGGTCTAGAAAGACCCTGCTGGGGCCAAGGGGGGCCTGCGCCAGAGAGATTAAACAGGAGGCAGGGAGGCTGAGGAGGATGCTGAGGCAATAGTCCAGGGTCCAGGATAAGATTGGAGCTGGTCTGGGGCCAAAGGCAAGAAGAGGGAAATGATTTGAGAAATGAAGTTCTCGAGACTCGCTGACTCATGGGGTGCAGCTGGTGAGAAGGGGAGTTATCTAGTGTGGTGGCCAGGCCCCCTACCCCCGCCCCGGGGCTAAGTAGCGGACACAGAGAGGCACCCGCAAGAGGCAGCTACATGTCTCATCTGTGGCCAGCTAGAAAGTCGTGGGAGGCACCAGGATAGGGTCAGAATAGGGATGGGGTCACAAGTGGAGACATGGGACAGAATGAGGATGCCCAGGAAAGTGGGCACAGAGAGCAGCAGGGGTCCAGGGTGGAGCTACGGGGACTGGGAACATCGAAGGGTCCTACAGAAAATGACTAGATCAGCGATGAAGGAGTGCAGACACAAATTGAAGCGTAGGGAGCAGAACCTGGAGCAGTCAAAATCACAGAGACAGAGGTTGGAAGGGTGGCTGCCAGGGGCTGGGGAGGGGCTGGGGAGTCAGTGCATGATGGGCATAGAGTTTCCGTTCTGCAAGACGGAGAGAGCTCTGCAGACCGGTCGCAACACTGCGAAAGCCTTCAACACCGCTGCATGGTGAAGATAATAAGTTTTACATTGTGTCTGTTTTACTACAATTACACATAAACTCTAGGACGCCTGGGCGGCTCAGTCGGTTAAGCGTCTGCCTTCAGCTCAGGTCATGATCCCAGGGTCCTGGGATCGAATCCTGCATCAGGCTCCCTGCTCAGCAGGCAGTCTTCTTCTCCCTCTACCTGTCCCCCTACTCATATACTCTCTCTCTCTTTCTCAAAAATAAATAAATAAAATATTTTTTAGAAGTCCCTCCCCCCTTTCCTTTTGCCCCTCTCCCCATCTCTCTAATGTGAATAAATAAATAAATCATTTAAAAAGGAAAACAACCATAAACTCTAAAGCTAATGAAAAAAGGAAGGAGGTCAAAAGGCACCAACTTCCAGTTATAAAATAAATAAGTCAAGGGATGTAATGCGCAGTTTGGTGACTATAGTTAATAGCGCTATATTGTATATTTGAAAGTCCCTAAAAGAGTAGCTCTCAGATGGTCTCATCACAAGGAAAAAAATTGGGGGGCGCCTGGGTGGCTCAGTCATTAAGCATCTGCCTTCAGCTCAGGTCATGATCTCAGGGTCCTGGGATTGAGCCCCGCGTCGGGCTCCCTGCTCTGCGGGAAGCCTGCTTCTCCCTCCCCCACTCCCCCTGCTTGTGTTCCCTCTCTCGCTGTCTCTGTCAAAAAAATAAAATCTTTAAAAAAAAAAAATTTGTAGCTATGTGTGGTGAGGGATGTTAGGTAGACTTGTTGTGGTGACCATTTTGCAATAAACACAAATACCAAATCATTATGTTGTCCACCTGAAACTTACACACTCTTATGTGTCGATTAGAACTCAATTAAAATAAAACATACATAATACACACAAACTAGAGAAAAGAAGAGGCAGCAACTGAAAGCAATCCTGGGTCCACAATGGGAGACAATAGTGAGGTGGGTGGGGGCAGACACAGACCCAGGGGCTGAGGAGAGAGGGAGAGTCTCGTCTCCAAGCCCTGAGCCCTGAGCAGGCACACCCCATTCCCATCACAGCCCCAGGGAAGAGAGGATCCTTCCTACCTGTGTAGTTTCTCTGCAAAATGCGGGTGGTCATCAACTGCGGAGCGTCTGAGGAGGAAAGATATGGTGAGGGGCAGGGTGGGCTTTTGCCCTTTGTTCCAGGAGCCCCATAAGTGGAAGGGATGGGCTTTGTGACTTCCCCCAATGTCCCCCAGGAAAAGTATCCGGGGACTGATGCCTTTTCCCCCCACTGCCCTGAGGGACCCAGCCATCCCTCCAGCACTCACAGGAGACATTGAGCCTGATGGTTCTTTCCACGGTGTCCTGACCTGGCAGGTGCACCTGACAGGTGAGGTTGCTGCCATGGTCCTGCAGCCTCGGGGTGAGGGTCAGCACTGAGGAGTGGAGGGTCTGGGGGTCCAGCGAGTCAAGAGCATCCCCCACCCAGGAGAAGGTGAGAGGTCTTCCCTCTTCGCAGGATCCCAGCATACTGCAGGTCAGGTTTGTGGGATAGCCAGACTTCAGGGGCTCCGGAAAGTGGATGTCGGGTTTCTGTGTCAGGGCTGAGGAGGAGAGAGGGAGGTGCTTGGGCCCCAGGGAGGTGGGGACCCAGACTGTGACCCTGAGAGGGACCAGGGCCTCAGGGCACAAGCTGACCCCGGGCCCCCATACCTCTTCCCACCATCCCAGCCCCAAGACCTGGAGCAAGGAATGTTCCAGTGTCCGGTTCCTGTTCTATGAGGGGGTCTCCACGTCCCAGAGCCCTCTTCTGGGGCCCCTGCCGGACCTGCCACCTGCACCATCAGCTTCTTATCTCTGTAATTATATTTCACGTTGTCTCTCTCCATTCGGAACTTGTAGACTCCCTGGTCACTCTTCCTGGCCTCTCTGATTCTCAGGGAGCAGTTGTTGTCCCAGGGGTTCCCGATGAGGTGGAATCGGCCCCGGGCCTCTATCATCACCATTTTCCTTTGGTCATTTGTAGCCACAGGATAACGGCTGTCCCCATTCCGGAACCAGTACACGTAGGGCTTCTCACGGGAATACCACGGGCTCCAGGGGTAGGAGAAGGAGCAGGGCACGTGGACACAGAGACCCTCCTGCACCGTCACTGAGTCCTGCACTCGGAGCTCGAACCCTGGATCCTCCTGCAGGGACCCTGGGGGGACACGGAGGCTCAGCTGCGGCTCCAGCCCACTCCCACCTGTGCCCAGCCAGCCCCCCTCCCTTGGCCCACTTACCCCCCCACAGCAGGGACAGCAGCAGCAGGGGCCCCATGTCTGCACCGGCCAGGGCAGGAGCCCGGGTTCGGGTCCCTCTGTCAGGGAAGGAAATGGCCCGAATGGAGGGTGAGGCCAAGGAAGCCCCAACAGGAAGCCGGGTGTGACAGAGCTGTGGTCACCACAGAAGGGGAACTTCGTCAGCACGGGCCATGGGAGGTGAAGTGGGGGCTGAGAAATCATCCCGTCTTGCCTCCCTGCCATTTGCAGATGGTGAGAGGCTTGTCTAGGGGGACAAGGCCCCAGAACTATGGCCCTTTCCCAGGGCAACGTGGTTTTTATTTTTTATTTTTTTATTTTTTTAAAGATTTTATTTATTTATTTATTAAAGAGCGAGCGAGAGAGAAACAGCATGAGAGAGGAGAGGGTCAGAGGGAGAAGCAGGCTCCCCGCTGAGCAGGGAGCCCGATGCGGGGCTCGATCCCAAGACCCTGGGATTATGACCTGAGCCGAAGGCAGTCGCTTAACCAACTGAGCCACCCAGGCGCCCTATTTTTTATTTATTTATTTTTTTTTTGAGAGAGAGACAGCATGAGCAGGGGGAGGGGCAGAGGGAGAAGGAGAAGCAGACTCCCTGGTGAGTATGGAGCCCGACATGGGGCTCCACACGGGGCTCCATCCCAGGACCCCAAGATCAGACACTTCACTGACTGAGCCACCGGGGCGTCCCTCCTCATGCACCATGTTTGCACAGGGAAGAGAACACCACCTTGCCAGTTTCCTGAGAACAGTGCCTCTGGGCGCTAGAAGAGATCCGGAGCAAATGCATTAGCACATGATGGAGCTCTAAGGAGAGGCTCCGAGGCTGAGGGGCCAGGTGGCAGGGTCTGCCCCTCTGTCAGGAGAGAAGTTATCAGGGACAAATACGTCAAGTAGACATACATGACTTGGTCCACAGTAGTCACAAGAGATGTGGCTCCCATCAGTGACCCTGGGGCCTCCTGGCCCCTTGGATTTGGGTCCCCAGTCCCACCACAGTCCTCATCCCAGGCCACCTCAGACTCTGGTCTTGCTGTTGATGCAGAACTGACCTGAGAGCTGGGCATTTGGAATGTGGAAGTTGAGGGCATGGAGTGACTGGGTTGGAACCCAGATACCTACCTACTGACCACCTCAGCTACCACCTGCTCAACTTTACTAAAATTAGTTAACCTCTCTGTGCCTCAGTTTGCTCATCTACAAAATGGGGACACTACTACAAATGCTGTGTGCATTACATTAAATGAGTTCATGTATGTCAGATACTTAGGACTGTGCCTGGCACTGAGCATTTGTTCATCCAAATGATGTTTCCTGGACACCTCCCATGTGCCAGGCCCTGTTTTAGGGCTGGAGATACAGCAAAGGGTCAGCTCCTAAGAGCTGAGGATGGAAAAGATGAGTCAGAAACTCTAGTTAGAAGACAAACAGTTAATAAAAAAATTAAAATGCGCTATCCCTTAGAGAGTGACATATGTTAGGGAAAAAAACCCCAAAACAGAAAAACATCAGAGGAATTTTTGAAGACTGCTGAAATTTAAAAAAAAAGACTGTGCCTGCGACAAGCCTCATGGAAAAGTTGACATCTGAGTGAAGACATGGACAAAGTGAGAGATCCTGTGGGCACCCACACAAAAGGAACCCATTGTGAAGGACTAGTGCACTCAGAAGTCCTAAGTGGGAATAGGTGTGTTGGCAGACAGCTGGATAACAGCGTAGCAGAGTGAGCCATGGGGAACATGGGAGGAGAGGAGGTCTCGGAGGTACCCTAGGTCAGCTTCTGAAGAGCTCTGGAGGCTGCTGAGAGAACTTGACTTGTACTCTGGGTGTATTAGCCAGGGTTCTCCAAACAGAACCCATAGGATCACATTCTATGCATATATAAAGAGATCTATTGTAAGGATTTGGCTCCTGTGATTATGGAGGTTCAGAAGTCCCAAGATGTGCAGTTGGCAAGTTGGAGACCCAGAACATCTGATGGTGAGTTCCAGTCCAGAGACCAGGGGTTTAAGATCCAGGAAAAGCCGATGTTTCAGCTCAAGTCCAAAGGCACAGAAAAAATGATGTCCTAGCTCAAAGGCAGTGAAGGAGAAAGAGTTCCACTTACTTATGGAAGGGTCAACCCTTTCCTTCTATGCAGGCCCCTAATTGGACCGGGCCCACCCACACTGGGAAGGACAATCTGCTTTACTCAATCCACGGATTTAAATCATTGGCCATTGGTGATTTATTCAACTTCCAGCCCCTCTCCCCTCCCTGGAGGTCAAAGTCCCAACCCTTCACTCAAAGTTTCCCTTAGCAACCAGCCCGCATCCTTAGCTGCTATCCAAAAGTCACCTCATTAATATAACAAAAGACACCTTAATTGCTTTCATCACTTAGTAAATTCCAAAGGTTTTAGGAGCTCTGTGCCAGAAACTGGGATGGGAAGACCAAACGTACATGTTTCTGATTATAAATCACAGTATTACAGGTATGAAGGACAGTGCAGGCCTTGAACAGAAAAGGGACAGGATGTGCTTTGCTTTTCCCCTGAGCCCCTGCTTGCTGGACTGAGCTCAGACTCCTCTGGGGTTGTTATGTTGCCCTGCTTGTGAGATGGGGGCGCCCAGGTCTGGGTGGACATGGTGGGTTGGTGGGAAGCTGATGGCTAGCAGTATTTGTTGGTGCATCAGATGCATATTGAGAGAAAAAGAGAAAAATCAACAACACCAATGTGTTTCTCCTGAGTAGTTGCAAGCTCCAAGCTGCCATTGCTGGAAAAGGGAAAGATTTTTAAGATTTTGAAAGAAGAAATTCGGGAGCTCAATTTCGGACATGTTGGGTTAGAGATGCATGTCACACACACAAGTGGAAAAATCAATAGAGGGTGCTTGATCTGTGGGTCTGTAGTTTAGAAAAAGTTCCAGCTGGACCCATGAACTTGGAGTGTCACCACACAGACTATATTTAACAGTGGGCTTGAGTGTGATCACACAAGGCACGAGATGAAACAGAAAGGAGGTGAGGACCATCTCCAGTGGGCATCAGACCCACCTTCCTGCTGAAAACAACCACAAACACAAAGGGAAAATCATGGCAAATCTGAAAACCACTGAAGGGCTGACAGAATTTTCAGCGTGAAGTCGAGGACAGGGTAGAAACCCAGACAGAGAAGGGAGACACCAAAGCCACACTTTAGCTGAGGGAATTTTGAATGTGGATTTGGGACTTGACCGTCCCTAAGGATTCAAGTCAGATTGTATGTCAGGTGGGGAAGGCTCAGGACCTGCAGAAGCCACAACATGTAGAGAGATAAGGGCCCTATTTGAACAGAAAAGGAAGTTTCCCCATAGCATTTCCAAGGAAGGGAGAAGCCAGATGGGACAACCTCTGGTCCCACAGGAGGAGGACTGAGGGAGAAGACTCTGTCCCAGCCTGAGGGTCCAGCAGCCCTCTGAGGGCACTTGGATGGGTGTGGAAACACCAATACAACAAGTTCTCAGGGTCAGATCTGCAGTTCCAAGCCTCAATCCAACCCATATATCTTATAGCCCTGGGAAAGCCTGTCCTCACCTCCACTGCCTCCCCTACATTCCTGGGTTCCCCAGGGCTCCCTCATGGCTCTGTCTTCCTATGCTATTGTTTTGTTGGTTGGTTGGTTGGTTGGTTGGTTGGTTGGTTGGTTTTTGAATGTCCAGATCCTGGTTTCTATCTAAAAGCGGCATCTTACTCTATGTGGAAAACCCAAAAGACTTCACCCCAAAATTGCTAGAATTCATACAGGAAATCAGCAAAGTGGCAGGATATAAAATCAATGCACAGAAATCAGTTGCAATTCTATACACTAACAACGAGACAGAAGAAAGAGAAATTTAGGAGTCAACCCCATTTACAATTGCACCAAAAACCATAAGATACCTAGGAATAAACCTAACCAAAGAGGCAACGGATCTGTACTCAGAAAACTATAGAATACTCATGAAAGAAATTGAGGAAGACACAAAGAAATGGAAAAATGTTCCATGCTCATAGAATGGAAGGACAAATATTGTTAAAATGTCTATGCTACCTAGAGCAATCTACACATTCAATGAAATCCCTATCAAAATACCATCAACTTTTTTCACAGAGCTGGAACAAATAATCCAAAAATTTGTATGGAACCAGAAAAGACCCCAAATAGCCAAGGAATGTTGGAAAAGAAAACCAAAGCTGGGGGGCATCACAATTCCAGACTTCAAGCTCTATTACAAAGCTGTCATCATCAAGACAGTGGCATAAAAACAGACACATAGATCAATGGAACCAAATAGAAAACCCAGAAATGGACCCTCAACTCTATGGTCCACTAATCTTCAACAAAGCAGGAAAGAATATCCAATGGAAAAAAGACAGTCTCTTCAACAAATGGTATTGGGAAAATTGAACAGCCACATGCAGAAGAATGAAACTGGACCATTTCCTTACACCATACACAAAAATAGACTCAAAATGGATAAAAGATCTAAATGGGAGACAGGAATCCATCAAAATCCGAGAGAAAAACACAGGCAGCAACCTCTGTGACCTCGGCCACAGCAACTTCTTGCTAGTCTCCAAAGGCAAGGGAAACAAAGGCAAAAATGAACTATTGGAACTTAATCAAGATAAAAAGCTTTTGCACAGCAAAAGAAACAGTCAACAAAACCAAAAGACAACCGACAGAATGGGAGAAGATATTTGCAAATGAGGTATCAGATAAAGGGCTAGTATCCAAAATCTATAAAGTACTTATCAAACTCTGGGTGCCTGGGTGGCTCAGTCGTTAAGTGTCTGCCTTCAGCTCAGGTCATGACCCCAGGATTCCGGGATTGAGCCCCTGCTCAACAGGAAGCCTGCTTCTCCCTCCCCCACTCCCCCTGCTTGTGTTCCCTCTCTCGCTGTCTCTCTCTCTGTCAAATAAATAAATAAATAAAATCTTTAAAAAAAAAAAAGAACTTATCAAACTCAACACCCAAAGAACAAAGAAGCCAATCAAGAAATGGGCATCAGGAGCGCCTGGGTGGCTCAGTCAGTTAAGCGGCTGCCTTCGGCTCAGGTCATGATCCCAGGGTCCTGGGATCGAGCCCCTCATTGGGCTCCTTGCTCAGCAGGCAGCCTGCTTCTCCCTCTGCCTCTGCCTGCCGCTCCCCCTGCTTGTGCTCTCTCTCTCACTATCTCTCTCTCTGTGTCAAATAAAAATAAATAAAATCTTTAAAAAAAAAAAAAAG